TACCTACCTTACTTATATATTATAGACCTCTTACTACTTCGACTAAAGAGGAAAAATCCCTCTTCTTATAAGCTTTAGTCTTACGATAAGGATAATATAATATATATAGTATAGTACCTTTAGCTATCTCTACTACCTAACTAATTATACTATAATACGTATTCCCTTATAAGTATACGTAGTATATAGCTAAGGATTAGTAAAGTAATTAACTATATAATTATTTAATTATCGGTCCTATATATAGCTCTAAGGGCTTTAGGTTATAAATATAAGTCTTAGAGATTTTCTTTACTTTATACCTCTTTATTTATATTAAAGTCGCGTAACTAATAGTATTTACTTTAAAGGGGAAAAATAAAATTTAAATTAACTATAATTAAGAAAGATACCTAATTAAATAATTAAGGTCTTTATAACGCCTTTAGGTATACTTAAAAGTAAGTTAAAAGGGGAGTGCTAAGGGTCTTATCCCTTTAACGGGCTAATATCTATAGGGGTACGATCTTACCCGTTAAACTACGCGGTTAGCTTAGCGGATATTAAAAAAGTACTATAACTAAAGCGCCCTTTATTAGAAGAAGAGCTATAGTAAGCTATCCTACTATAGTTCTACGACCTACTACCGCTCTTTTAAAAGAGTAAAGCTAATAAGTTAAACCCCTATAAGCTAAGTATAGACTACTTAATACCGCTCTATATAGGGGATAATAGTAAGGAGCTTCCCTTATTATTCGGGCTACTATATAGTATATTATAAGAGGAACTATTAGTATTAAAGAAGACCTTTATAGACCTCCTTAATAAGGGATTTATTAAGGCTAGCTCCTTTAAGGCGGCGGCTCCGGTCCTATTTATATAGAAGCTAAGGGGAGGACTTTACTTCTATATAAACTACTAAGCGTTAAACGTAATTATACGCCCTGACTAGTACCCCCTTCCGCTTATAGGAGAGACCCTCTATAACTTAGTAAAGGTAAAGTAGTTTATAAAGCTCGACGTCGTCTAAGCGTTCTATAAGGTACGAATAGCGTATAGGGAGGAGTAGAAGATAGCGTTCTATATAAGATATAGCTTATTTAAGTAGATAGTTATCCCCTTTAGCGTAGTAAGTGCCCTAGCTACGTTCTAACGTTATATTAACTAGGTACTTAGGGGTTTCCTTAATAAGTTCGCGTTTATATATATAGATAGTATTCTTATCTATTTAAGTAGGAGCTACGAAGACTATATATAGAAGGTATAGAAGGTGCTAAACCGCTTAGTAGAGCACGGCTTATACTTAGACCTAGATAAATATAAATTTAGCGTTAAGCGCGTTAAATACCTTAGCTTTATTATTATCGTAGGCGTAGGTATATAAGCGGACCTAGCTAAGACTTAAGCTATCTACGACTAAGCGACCCTAATATCGTAACGAGGTATACGGAGCTTCCTTAGCTTTACTAACTACTACTAGGTCTTTATTAAGGAGTTCTTATAGATTATACTACCGCTTAATAAGCTAATAAGGGATAGGGCCCCCTTCTCTTAAGGACCTATATAAGTAAAGGCGTTCTAAGCCCTTAAGGACTTATTTTTATAGGCCTTAATACTACTATAATAGGACTTTAGTAATCCCTTAACTATAGAAGTAAACTATAGCGGCTATATACTTAGGTAAACCCTATCCTAAGAAGTAGAAGGGTAGAGGAGGCTAGTAGCGTTCTACTTACGTAAGCTTACTATAGCGGAAAGGAACTACCTAATCTATAATAAGGAGATATTAGCGATTATTAGCTACCTTAAGTAATAATAGGTAGAGCTTTATAGCTATAAGAGCTTTAAGATCTATATAAACTATAGGAACCTTAAATACTTTATAACTTAATAGTATCTCGCGGTAAGCGCGCTAAGCGGAGTATCTCTTATACTTTTAGTTTTATATTAAATGTCACGACCCTGGGCGCCGGCGTAGAGCCGCCAGCGCAGAACCTCACCAGTGTCACGTGCCCAAGCAGCATCACGTGCCCACGCGCGACCTCGTGTCTATATAAGGGCCCGCTCGGTCGTGTAGTCTAGTCTTCCTTTCTTGCTCCTTAGCTTTGAGTCTTTGTTCATAGTGCCAATACATCTTTATAGCCGTCAAGGCTCGTATGTGCCTGGCCGTAACACTACTCAAAGCTCAATAAGATCGCTTGCCAGCGATTAAGCAAATAGGCACCGAGCTTTCGTCACACGCGCCTGACGTAAATCCAGCGCATCCGTTCTGACCGTTCCGACCAAGACTCCGACCACCGACCAAGTGATCCTCAAGGCTGAGATCACGTCCGTTCCGACCAAGACTACGCGTGTGTAGCCGTCCGACCAACCGTTCCGACCAAGGGATTCGTCCCGTCTGACCTCCGACCGTCCCTGCTCGTGCAGGCATCTGACCGTGATTCCGCGTGGTATCATTTCCGACACCTATCACCTCGCGACTATGATATCCGAGGAAGCCCTGCCCTCTGATCAGCCTCGCCGTTCCACCCGGCTTGCTGGCCAAGCCACTGAATCCGAAATAGTAGCCATGGCTGCCCCGAGCCCCAAGACGCTCTCATCCGCGAGATGAGGAACAGATTGCGGCCTTAACGGCCCGTCTAAATGAACGCTCTCCGTCTGTTGAATCAAATCGACAGCACCGGGAGCCCTCGACTGCTTTTGCCGGCCCAAATGGCCCGGCCTTCCGACCAACAGGCAAAGCTGCCTGGCCTGTTTTTGCCCCCTTCCCAGAGGGCAAGAACCCCGAGTACAGCGACGCCGCCAAATCGCGCATCAAGGCCTCCGCGACGTTCTCAGGAAGAAGGACGAGTTCCATTCCTTCATCCTGAGCATAAAGAACAAATTTGACGAAGACGTGCGAACCTTCCGGACTGAGAACAGCCGGATGGTCTGTCTGTATAACCTGCTCGAGGAAAAGCCCGCCGAGCACTTGAAACCCGCTTCTCCTCTGACACTCGACCCTTCTCTGGAGTGGCAGAGATGATCCAAGCCCTCGAGTCCGCCTATGGCAATCCGAATGAGCTTTCCGAGGCTCTTGACCGCCTGCAACGCCTCCAGTTTACCGTGAATGGGAAGACCGACATTGTGGACTTCCTTGCGGAATTTGACTACTTAACTGCGACCGGTCGTGTGCCCGAGGACCAGATGAAGCATACCTTGTGGCAGCACATCCCGGCCAACCTAGATAACAGCCTCTTGACCAAGACCCGTGACGAGTCCGTGACCTACGAGGTTTTCTGTGGGTTCATTAAGGACGCTGTCCACTGCCAGAAGAGGAGTATGAGGCAGACACAGGACTCCCGCTCTTCCGACCGATCTCGCCGCGCGCCGACTAAGACTGCTCCGACTACCGCCAAGACTCCGAACAAGACCGGCTCGACCCTATCACCTCGCGTGATGCTGGCAGAGCCTTGACCGACGATGAGAAAAGGGTCCATTGGGATAATGGCACCTGCTTTATTTGTGGAAAAACAGGGCACCTCTCTCGCGACTGTCCCGACCGCACCCATGCTGTCTCCCGTGTCGCCTCCGTCCCTGTCCTGCCAACGACTCTGATCAAGATTCGGGAAACGAATAGGACCATCACAAGACTCCTTGATGGTCCCTAAGGTGTCACAGATAGCGAGTAGGTCTAGCAAGTCATTCACTCTGCCAAGTCAAGTCCAAGTGGATGGTGTGAGCTACCTGCCCGCTCCTCTGTGATACCGGAGCCGAAACCCGTTTGCTGGTTAGCCCAACCTTCGCCCAGTCCGCCGCCCAAAGACTCGGAGCCCAGATTAAGGAGCTCCCGAGTCGGATTCCTCCAAGACTTCCGTGGAAAGCCAGCCGGCTATATCCAGAAACAGCTGGTCGCCACTTTCGTCATCGATGGCCGTTCGTTCGCAAACGAGACATTTGATATAGCTGAGTGTGGCCATGATATCTTTATCGGTCTTTTCTGGATGCGGGAGAAGCGCCTCCTGCTTGACTGCGCCGCCCGACAGATCATCTGGCCAGATGATCTTCCTGCCCTCGCCAAGTTCTCCCCGACGATCCAGCTCTCTCGTCAAGCCCCGCTCTCGGGTCGGATCGACCCTAAGATCCAGGCCGACGCTGAGAGGCGGAACCGCCTGCTCGAGAAAGAGGAGAAACGCTACCGGATCCTCCACAAGAACTGGCGCCGCTCTGATCAAGCTCCTCCGGCCTCTGTCCCGACCCGTTACCGACTCCGTCTCCGTCGTTTCAGTCCAAGTCTCCGTCTGCCAAGAAGTCTGTCCGTTTTCAGCTCACGACCGCCCCTGCTACCGACTTCGTCTCCGTCGCCTCGGTCCAAGCCTCCGAAGATCAAGCCCTGATTAACGCCCTGGTCTGCCAAGTAGAGTCTCACGAGAGATTCGAACAGTGGAACGAACTCGAACCGTTGATGCCCGGGATCCAGTCCAGCTCGAGCCAAGCTCCGGCCTTGACCAGACCGTCCCTAGTGCTCGAACCGTTGCTAAAGTCTCCCAGATCGGAAGACCTACCAGGGACAAAGCATTCCGTTCCCTCAGGAGAAGACCCTGAGCATGTTGCTTGTGTCCGTAGTCGTCTACCGCCCCAGCTCACCCATCTAGAGGATTCTTCTCGAAGAAAGAGGCCCACACCCTACCTTCGAGCCGACCCGGTCACGATGTAGTCCTAGAGCTTGAGAAGCCTCTTTCGCCGACAGGACCCCATCGTACCGCACGCCCGTTAAGTATCTGCCTCTAGAAAGAGACTGTCGATCACCTCCGGAGATAGACTTCATCGAGCCCGATCCGAGTCCGCACGCCGCATCCGTCCTCTTCGCTCCGAAACCGAACACGACCGCCCGCCGCTTCTGCATCGACTACCGTTGGATGAACGATCATCTTAAAAGTCGCATCACGCCCGCTCCGTCCCTCGAAGGTACTGCTTTCGGTTGCCGTGAAGCTCAACGCTTCACGAAGATCGATGTGATCCAGGCCTTCCACCGTCTCCGCATGGACCCTGACTCCGAGTATTTGACCGCCTTTCGCACCCGTTTCGGAACTTTCCGCTGGAAAGTCCTCCCGTTCGGTCTGAAGGTAGGTCCCGCCTGGTTCCAGCAGTTTATCAACGCGCAGCTTCACGATCTCCTCGACCGGTGCGCCAGCGCCTACGCAGATGACGTCCTGATCTACTCGGATAAAGAAGAAGACCACTGGAAAGACTGTCAAGAAGTGATCTGGCGACTCCATCAGGCCAACCTCCAGGGAGACATCAAGAAGTCTAGATTTAACGTGACCAAGGTTGACTACCTCGGCGTTCTGCTTGAAGCCGGTGTGGGCCTTAGTGTCGACCCTCGGAAAGTTCGATCGATACAAGACTGGAAGTTTGAAGACCTCCGAGACCGCACCGCGATCCGATCATTCGTTGGCCTATGCAACTTCATCCGTGTTTTCTGCTACCACGCCTCCGGAGTGGCAGAACCTTGAACCGGTTGCTTAAGAAGGATGTTGCCTTTGTGATGGGCCCGGAGCAACGCGAAGCATTTGATCAACTCAAGCGCCTGGCTATCGAAGCCCCGGTCCTCGCCTTCTTTAGACCAGAACTGCCGACCCGACTGGAGACCGATGCCTCCCGGAATGCCACAGCTGGTGTTCTATGGCAGGAACAGCCTGATCAGACCTGGAAGCCCGTTGGATTCTTCTCTAAGACCATGACCCCGGCCGAGCGAGCCTACCCAATCCAAGATCGAGAGCTCGCCGTCGTACAGAGTCTAGAGCACTTCTACCCAGAGCTCTTAGGCCAGAAGTTCGATGTGATCACCGATCACGAAGCCTTAGTCCATTTCTCTACGAAGCGCCTGCTCTCGGTACGACAGATCAGATGGTCCGACTTTCTCGCCCAGTTCGACATCCGTTTCCTCTACCGCCCCGGTCGACTGAACGTAGTCGCCGATGCCCTCTCCAGGAAGACAGCGGAGCTCCCTACCGTAAAGGCCCGGGAAGCCGAGGAACGCACGGTGACCCTGATCCTCCGGAAAGGCTAGGCTTCGCGACCGACTCTCTAGACCCTACGGCCGCCGGCAACCTGCCCCCTCAGAACTTTAGTCCCGAACCTAAGCCTACTAGACCATTAGTTCTGAGGGCCACGAGTGCCCTACAGACCCCAGAAGACCGAGGATACAGCAGACGCCCGATCAAGACCGCCCAGAACTAGACCCGAACTCGGTCCCGAAGGGAGCCGAACTCGTTTCGTTGATCCGCCAGGAGAACCTCCTCCAAGACCTCGGTACCCATGGAACACACCTGGTCGTACCAGCCCAGACCTCAGACAAGCAGACGTTTCTTCAGACCGCGCTCATTCGCGAAGCCCACGAACCCCAGATCTTCGCTCACGCCGGACAGAACAAGGTGATCAAGCTGCTCCAACGAGACTTCTACTGGCCAAGGATGAAGGAGGATATCCGTCGTTATATTCGGAACTGCCACGACTGCCGCCGCAACAAAACCCCTCGAGACAAGACCCCTGGACTGCTCCATCCACTGCCCGTACCGACCTCTGTTTGGGAGCACGTCGAATGTGACGGGAAGGATATGCCGAAAGACCGTTACGGATATGACTATGTTTGGACCTTCGTCTGCAAGCTAAGCCGGATTATCGCCACGCTCCCAGGAAAGAAAAACGATACGGCAGAAGTCTTAGCTAGCCGCTACTTCCGCTACCTCTATCGTTTCTTCGGTATGCCCCTCGTATGGATTTCTGACAACGCTGGACAGTTTATTTCTGCCTTCCTCGCAGAGATTAACCGGCTCACGGGAACGAAGCATCGTCATGGAAGCTCCTACACCCTCAGACCCAAGGGGTGTAGAAGTTACAAATCAATACCTAGATCAAAAGCTACGATTCTACGTGACGAAGCATCAAGATAACTGGAGTTCCCTGCTGCCCGCCCTCGACTTCGCCCATAACTCGTCTTGGCACTCTTCCATCGACATGGCACCGTTAAAAGTAGCCCTAGGCCGAGATATCCGGAACCCCCTGTCACTGCCCCCGACTGACAAGACCGCTGCCACCGGACCCGCCGCCAGAGCTAGGAACTTGTGCAGACCGCCCAGGAAACCCAGGAAGACGCCAGGAATGCTGCCACCGCCGCTCAAGAACGTCAGAAGGAACAGGCTAATAGGAAACGACGACCAACCGACTTTGCCATCGGTGACCGAGTTTTTCTCAGCAGGAAAGGCTTCGCCACGAACGCTCCGACTACTCGGCTAGATAACCAATGGTCAGGTCCGTTCGTAATCCTGGAAGAACGCGGTCATAGCTACGTACTGCAGCTGCCCGAGTCGTACAAAATGAAGAACCTATTCCACGCCGACCGTCTTCGAAAAGCAGCCGATAACCCCTTGCCCCAGCAGATCCAGTCACCTCCGCCACCCGAGGAGATCAACGGAGAACCCGAGTGGGAGGTTGATCAAGTCCAGCAGTCTCGAGTAACCGGTAGGAGTCGACGACTGGAATACCAGGTCTTATGGAAGGGATGTGACCCTGATGAGACCTGGTACCCGGCTAGAATTTCCGTAACGCACCAATGGCATTGAAGATTTTCCACGATGAACATCCGGACGCAGCAGGCCCACCCGTCAACCTGCAATACTGGATCGAATGTGCTGCAGCGGAGGAGGGCTGCGAGGAACGAGACGATGACGACACAGCAGAGAAAGCCGTGAAACCAAGAACCCGCCGCCACGACTGACTACCTTGATACGCATATCAAGGCCTTAGACGGGGGGTAGTGTCACGACCCTGGGCGCCGGCGTAGAGCCGCCAGCGCAGAACCTCACCAGTGTCACGTGCCCAAGCAGCATCACGTGCCCACGCGCGACCTCGTGTCTATATAAGGGCCCGCTCGGTCGTGTAGTCTAGTCTTCCTTTCTTGCTCCTTAGCTTTGAGTCTTTGTTCATAGTGCCAATACATCTTTATAGCCGTCAAGGCTCGTATGTGCCTGGCCGTAACATTAAATATAAACTAGGTAAGGAAGCTATAGTCTTAGACGCCGTTTTATAAAGAAAGTAAGACCGGCCTACTTTTATAGACCTTAATACGCGAGATATATAGATAATCTTAGATAAGGCGCTCTAGACTTACCTCGGCGCTACTTTATTAAGGGCGGAGGGTAACCCCTTAGGAGCGGCTAAGGTCCCGGCCCCCCCTAAGGGTGCGCCCGACGTCCCTTAGCGTATCTTTTAAGATAAGGAGCTCTAACGCCTATAGGACTAGCTAGCGGTATAAGATAGTACGTATATAAGCGTACGCCGCGCTATAGAGGTAGGGGCGCGCTTACTTAACCGCGGCCTTAGGTTAAAAGTCTAAGTAGGCGACTACTATATTAACCCTTATAGCTACCTTTGCTATAAGGGTAGGCTATAAGTCCTAGGCGCGCCGGCGATAACGGAGGCTATAGCTAGGGCGGCCCCCTTAAAAGTTAAGGAGCGGGATAGGTTAAGAGGGCGGATTATATAGATAATCTATAACTTAAGTATAATTAGCTATCCTAGCTATAAGGGCACGCTAGTAGCGATTAGCTAGGACTTTTACTAGCCGCTTATAGTACTATACGTCTACTATTTCCTCTATAACTATAATATCTATAGCCGCTTAAAGATCTAGTAAGCGCTTAAGAGGGGGCTATTAAAGTTACTACTAGTCCCTAACCGGTTCTATATATATATATAGATAGACTTTATTATAGACCTCCCTTTTATAGCGGGCGGTAACTATAATCTCTAGGTAATTAAGGACCGTCTAAGTAAGGAAGTAGTACTAAAGCTAATACTATCTATAAAAGTAAAGGCCTACGCCGAGCGCTTCCTTTAGTACTACGCCCGCTTTTATTAGTAGCTAGCCTCGATTATTAGTAATAAGGGTACTAATTAAACCGGCCGCTTTTAATAGTACCTTTATAAGCTACTCTAAGTTACTTAGTTACTAAGTATAGCCTACTACCTATAAATTAATAAGGGGCCCGAACGCTTTAACTAAGAAGTCTAAGCTTACCTTTAATAGGTAATAGCCTATAACTAAGCGGACTAAGATAAGTAGCTTCTTATAGCTTAGATAGCGCTTAATAGTAGGTTAAACTTATTTATTAGTATATCCCTCTTCCTTACGCTATATAAGTTTAAACCGCCGTTAGCATAGCCTATTACTATAGATATAAGCGTAGAGCGCTACTTAGCTAGCTCCCTAAAAGGCAAGGCGTCCGCTTTTATATAAAAGCTATAATAAGTTTTAGAGTTCTATTAATCCTCGATAGCGTCTACCGCCTAGGACTAAGAGCGGTAAGCTAATAAGTCGCGGGATCCTATAAATAGGATCGCGGTAAGGGATAAGGTCTAGCTAGACCTCTATAACTATAGGTTAACGAGGCTAAAAAAAAGCTCGACTAGCTATACGCTAAGTATACGGTAAAGAGGGTACTAAGTCTATAGATTATAGAGCTAGTAGGGCTGCCCTTTAGTATCTATAGTACGATTAACGTTAACCTTTTTTATTGCGCCGCTATAGACCCTTTACTAGGCTAAGAGATAGCGGATCCTTAACTAGCCGCTATCCTTATTAAGAGGGAGGAGGAGTTCTTAGTAAAAGAATTATAGGTAGCCCGTTAAAAGAATATAAGCCGCGGTAGGAGGCGCGAAGTCCTTATTAAGTAGCGCGGCTATTAAGACTTAATATAGGAGCCGGCTTTTAAGTTTAAGGGCGTAGTAGCTCTAAATAAGTTCGAGGCCCTTTATAGGCTAGTAAAGGAAAATAATAGCCTAGTAAGAGAAGCTACCCTTTTAACGGTAAAGTAGCTAGTACCTTAGATATTATTACGTTTTCTTAGCTAACTTTTTAAAACTAAGCCTAAAATATAGAAAAGGTATATACTTAGAACTATTATAAATAGCGTATTACGCCCCCTTAAGTATAGCCTTATATAGCTACTAGCGGGTGCGTAATATACTACTAAAGATTATAAATTAAGCGATATTCTCCTTTATATAGGTAGAAAACTCTTCCTTACCCTTGCTAACTAAGGGTATATACCCCCCCCCGCTAATAAGACTAAGCCTAAACTTAACTTAGGACCTTAGCCTAGATATAAGAAGGGCCCTCTTAACTTTAAACCCCCTTAACTTAAGGGTCGAAATAAGTACCTTAGAGGCTAGGGCCCGCTTAAAAGAAGCTCTAGAAGGCTAACGCTTTCTAAGGACCCTAAAAGAAAGGCCTAGGACCCGAGACTAAGACTTAAAGGATATTAAGATAGAAGAGAATACTTAGCCTATACTAAAGACTAGCCTCTTTAAGCCTAGCTTAGCCCTACCTTAGGCTAGCTACTTCTAGCTTAACTAGCCCTTAAAGTAAGTAAAGGGGCGAAAGAGAGCTACGCTTAGTAGCCTTATTAGCCCTATGCCTATCCGACCTACGTTCTAATACTTATAGTAGACCTAGCCCCGGCCCTAGCACCCCTTCCTTAGGGACCGGGACTAGGGCTTCCTCTAGCAGGCCCTCTAGGCCCTTAAGGAAGCCTAAAAAATCGAACCCTTTTATAAGACCCTTATAAAAGGGCTTAAGAAGGCAGCTATAAGGACCCTAGACCGCTAATAGCCCCTATAATAGCCCCTATACTAGCCTAAGGCCGCCTAGAAGCCTAGGGCTACCTAAGGAAACCTTAAAGTAAGCTTATAAGCTAAGGTTACCGTAAAGAAGGCGCCTAAGGCCCTAGCTAAGGCCTTAGCTAAGGCTCCGGCGAAAGCCCTAGCTAAGACCCTAGCTAAGGCCCTAGCTAAGAGGAACGTAAAAGAGAACTTCTAACTTATCCTAAAGCTAAAGAAGGAATCGCTAACGCTAACTATTAACCTTATTACGCTTTATAATATAAGGAACGGTGTTCCTACTATAAATAAAGCAGCTATAATATACTCTCCTAATTATATAAGCTAATAAGTAGTATATTAATTATAGATAAAATCTTATCCTATAGAGTAAGAATCGCTCGTTATTCTATATATTATTATATATTAAACGGGTTGCCGGTTATTATATAATTTGGAATCGAAGGAACAGAGCTAGCTTAGAATACTAGCTAAGACCTCTTAAGAATACTAGCACGACTAACCTCCTTTAAACACGAATATTAGTAGAACTAAGATACTTTTAGATTTACTCGAGGTATCACGGAATTCCCTAGTCTTAGGGCTATACGGTAGTCTAAATCTAGTCCCGAAAGGTTCTTCCGTTTAGCTATAATTATCTATATAAGATAGTATATCCGCTAGTAGATAGATAGAGAATTATTAATTTTAATACCTCTTTTATATACTAATATATTACTAATAAATTCTATTAAAAATCCTACCTTATACTCCTTCTTCCCCTCTATTATATAGTCTTACGTAATTCCTTAATTTCCTAAAATTCCGCTTTTACTTATATACCTTAAGATATAACGAGCTTAATAATACTATAAGGGAACTAGCTATATTAGCTCTATCGACCTTAAATAAAGGTAATATAGTTATAACGATAAAGGCCCTATATACGGTAAAGAAGCTTTTAGAGTAGCGGGAGAAGTAGTCCCTATGCCTTAAGGAGCTACCTATTAAATCGGCCGACCTTCCTACTAGCTAGACTAAGCTAGTAGCCTAGAGCGTCCCTAACCTCTTAGAGACCCCTATCCTTAATATCCTTACTATAGAAGCTAAAACCTTTAGCGGGATCGATATCCTAGGGCAGCCTAAGTAGCTAGGCACCCTAGGCTTAATATAGAAAGTAAGATCGGTTATCTTTATAGTCCCTTTAAAAGCTATAAGGGCTAAATACTAGAAAAAAGGCCTTTATATAATAGGTTTATAGATTTAAGTCGAGGCCTATAAGGAATATACTATATATATATAGTACTATAAGTGCCTTTCCTTTAGCTATAAACCCTAGACCTACCGGCAGCCTATTAGGTATACCTTTTACCTAGAAAAGCACTTAACTAAGGACTATAACTACCCTAGCTATAAGGCTAGCTAAAGCTACTCTTACTTTAAGGTCTAATACTATAACTATAAAGGAGAGTACCTTATAACTAATAAAGTATAATATAAAGTCTATAAAGGAATAACTAATACTTAATAGCCTTAGCCCCCTTATACTTATAGGGCCCTTAAAGCCCCTTAGGCCCCCTAGGCTTAACTACGACCCTATTAATATTATATAGTATAATACTAATAGGTAGGAAATAGCTAACCTATTAATCTTAGAGTAGGCCTTAGAAATAAGAGCGGACCTTATCTTATTATAAGAGCCTTACTTCTATAAGATTAATAATAGCTATATCCTTATATAGTATCTAGCCTATAACGTTATAACCCTTATTCCCTTTACTAACTTTCCTAAGCTTATTAAGAGGCTTAGGGTTATAGCTTATAAGAGGAAGGAAGCTTAAATAGAAGCTAGCCCTAGCTTTAACCTCTTTTACGATCCTAATATATAGGCTATAAGGGTAGAAGGCGCCGAGCTATTTACCCTTATTAACCTATATAACGAAAAAGAGGTTAAAGGGGCCCT